AGGCTCGGGCGCTGCGCTTGCTGCCCTGCGCGTCGACCTCGTCCAGGTGGTCGGCGGCGAGTCGTTCCAGCTCGGCACAGATCCCCGCTCCTCCTCTTCCTCCTCCTCCTCCTCCTCCTCCTCCTCCTCCTCCTCCTCCTCCTCCTCCTCCTCCTCCTCCTCCTCCTCCTCCGTCTCCTCCTCCTCCTCCTCCTCCTCCTCCTCCTCCTCCTCCTCCTCCTCCTCCTCCTCCTCCTCCTCCTCCTCCTCGCAGCACCCGTGCGCCGGAATTGGGCGAGGCGCCCGCAGGTCTGCCAGAGAGCGATCGCGTGGCCACCTGCGCAGGCTCCTCCTCTCCGCGTCCGCGCCGCCGACGTCCGAGTCCAGCGCACCTCCGCGGCACGGCGGGACGGCCGCCTCGCCGAAGTCCTCCACGAGCCCACGACGATGACAGTGAGGACGACGAGTGGGGGGAGCGAGAGGAGGAGCAGGAGGAAGGCAACAACAAAGAGGACGAGCTTATAACAACACGGAGGAGAAGGTTGGCGAGGAGGGCGATGATGAGAAGCAGCATCAACATCGGCAACACCAGCAATAGGAGCACAAGGACCAGGAGGAGGCAGATAAGGGTGAGGAGGGGGAGAAGGAGGAGGAGGAGGAGGAGGAGGAGGAGGCGGATGGGAGAAGGAGCGGCGACAGCGGCGGCAGCAGCAGTGGAAGCGACATCGGGATTCGGGAGGCGGGAGTGAGTAGCGGGGAAGATTGGAAAGGTGAGGCGGGATGGGGACAGGACCGAGGACGAGGACAAATATGGGGGCACGGGCAGGAGGAAAGACGAGGAAAAGTACGGGAATGGGCTTGTGGCGACCCCCCTGGCTGGCTTGCAGCACTCGTTTCCAGTGTTGTTCCTCTCAGCATCCGCTCACCCCCTACTAGTTCACTTCTCGTTTCATGTATGTTCTGCCTTGTCCTTTCGTATTCCTTCCCTCTCCTCCTTTCCTGCTGCTTCCCTGCCCGGTGTTGCCAGCCTGTCAAAATCGAGCCTCTGGTTGCGAGCTCGGGCAGGTGAACAGCGCGATTGGCACTGCGAAGTCCCAGATGAACGATGGGCACCCCGAAAAAGCCATCCAGTGCTTCGACAAGGCCACCGACAACATGATCGGAACGCCTCTCTTTATAATGTTTACATAGATGTAGAGGCATATTGAACTGAAAGCAGATACGCTCTCACGTAGTTGTTAGTTTGATAGGTTATGTATACACACATCTGTATATACATAGAGAGAGAGAGAGAGACATCGGTATGTGTATGTGCATGACGAATGACCATACATGCGCATGGAGATGTACAGATCGAGGAAGTGAGAGAGGTAAATGTTCGTATTTGTGCAGACGTGCATGCTTACATACATTGTTTAGAGATATAGAGAGGGAGCGACAGAGAGAGAGAGAGGAATAGAGAGAGAGAGCGATAGCGAGAGAGAGAGAGAGAGAAACAACAACAACGACAACAACAACAACAACAACAACAACAACAACAACAACAATAACAATAACAATAACAACAACAACAACGACAACAACAACAACAACAGCAACAACAACAACAACAACTACAACAACAACAACAACCACGACAACAACAATAACAACAGCAGCAGCAGCAGCAACAACAACAACAGCATCAGCAACAACAACAACAACAACGACGACGACGACAACAACAGCAACAACAACAGCAACAACAACAGCAGCAGCAGCAACAACAACCACAACAACAACAATAACAACAGCAGTAGCAGCAGCAACAACAACAGCAGCAGCAACAACAACAACGACGACGACGACGACAACAACAGCAACAACAACAGCAACAACAACAGCAGCAGCAACAACAACGAGCACAACGATCCGGACGAGGGGTCCGTCCGAGGGTGGAGGGTACAAGTGCCTCCTGCCCGCACCTCGTTGGCGGGAGGTGCCGCGTAGATGGCAGGGGTGGCGCAAGCCTCCCCCCTTGGCGCGGTCGAAATCCCCGACTGGAAAGGTTCGCGGGCTGTGGTGGTCACGGTGTCGCACGCCCCGTCCGCACTCCCGAATCTGAAAGGAACTCGTGGCTTTTAGCGCGCTCTGGCTGGCACGTGCGCCCCAGAGCCCTGCGAAGGGAAGGCGCCGCCTTGGGGCACCCCATCCAGCGTCCTCCTCCTCCTCCTCCTCCTCCTCCGCCTCTGCCTCCTCCTCCTCCTCCTCCTCCTCCTCCTCCTCCTCCTCCTCCTCCTCCTCCTCCTCCTCCTCCTCCTCCGCCCAGCGCCGGGACAACGGAGCTGGTTGCCAGGAGGTTTGCAGGGCACGAAATGTGAAAGGGTGATGGCAGCCAGTGCTGGCGTACCAGCGCTGAGCAGCAAGCCGCGCCTGGAGGCGTTCTCGGAGAGCGGCCCCAGGGAGGGCACGCGCGCGAGAGGCCTGCTGTAGATCGTTCCGTGCGGACGGTGCAGCTTGGAACCTCTCGAGAAGGGGTCTGTACTGCCCCCGGATGGTTCTCAGCGTCAGTGCGAGGCTGGAGGCACGCTGCTGAAGCACATTGATACTGGCAGTGAGCGCGGCTTCACGGTCCCGTGGTGGCTGTGACCTGGCCGGCGCCAGACGCTGGGTGAGGCCGCTCCTCTGGCCGGCGCGCTGCACCGGGGTCGGACGGGCGCCTCTGCCCTGGTAGGAATTGCGCGGACCATTGGTTCCCGCTCCTTGGTGGGTCGGGAGGTACAGTCGGGGCGCTGAACAAGGAACCCTTGTCGTTGGGGAGGGGCTCCGTGTTCCTTAATTGTTTCGCAGCTTGCCTTGGATTTTCCTTAGGTTTTCGATGCGAAATCGAAGTTAAATTTATGGAAAATAGGGGCCTCGTTCCTTATTTAGCGTTCCTTAGGTCAACGCCTCGACTGTAGGCCTGGTGGCAACGAGCGTTGCGTCAGGGAGCTGGCTGTGCCGCAGCAGTGGCCAGCCCGGCGGGCTGGTGCGGCGGCACGGGCCCATCGGGCGCAGTCCGCGACCACTCGCCTGCCATGCGCAGATCCTCTCCCGGGTGGATGGCGCTGCTGGCGCAGATGTGGCTTGGGGCGTGGCTGTCTTGGTGGTCCCCAAACGTGGTGGTGAGAACACCCGGTGGTGAGTTTTGGGCGATTTGGGTAATGGTTTTCGAGCGCTGGCTGGCCCAGGAAACGCAAAACCTCGTGGCGATCGCGTGTCCCCAAACCCGGTGGTGACCCAGAATTATTTTTTGGGGGAATCGGGGTCACCACCGGGTGTCTCACCACCTGGTTTGGAGACCACCAACTGTCTGCGTCGGGGGGGGATGCCAGAGTCCGTACTGCCTCCCGCGTGGTCGACGCCAGTGCTGCGCTGCACAGGGCGCAGTGATTACTTGTGGTGGGGGCCTGGTTGACCACCACGTCGTGGGTCTTTGCCGGGTCTTCGCCGTGGCATGCCTGCTTTGGCGTGCGGGTGGACTGTCGTCGTCCGCGTCGTGGCCATCGCTTTCGCGGCAGCCTGGCGCGCGTGTGCGGGGGGGGTCGCCATCGTCGTTGTCGAGGGCCCCCCCCCCCGGCCGAGTTGGCCCTCCTTGTCTCCTTAAAGGCCGTCAGGAAGTATGTCCCATGGGTCGCCGAATTCATCGTAATGCCCTAGCCCTGGTGGGCCTTGGGATTGGGGGGGTCGCCAGGCGTGTCTGGTGGCTCGCCCCCGCCGCCCCCCGCGGTGAAATGGAGCGTGTCCTGGTGGTCGTTCTGAGACCATGCGGTGATAAACTCGCTTGGTCAAAGTCCTTTCGACCCATGCTAGCTGATGCCGAACTGGATGCCTCCTTGTCCCGGGGTGGACAGGACTGTCGGTACGTCGGTCGGCATGATGCCTAACGTTGCCATGAGTCTCCGTTTGTTTGCCACGGTCCTGTGGCGACCCAGCAGCTGCATGGGTTTCTGGATGAGGGCCGTGCTGAAGTGGGGGGCGAAGATGGCTGTGAAGGCGTCAGTGAGGTCGTCGAGTTGTTCGCGCGCGTTGTCACGCTTGGTTGCATTGTGACGCTCCTTGGCCCTGGATTGTGCCGTGCCTGTTGCTCCTGGTTGCCGCGTGCCGTTGATTGGTGCAACTCCTGAGAACTGGGATGTGAACATCCCCTGGAGGGAAGGCGTGACGGCGATGACATCCGTTTCACAGATAGTTCGCGGATCCAGGTCACATTGCCCGCGGGGTCCAATACGATTTGGACCACGTTATGGACGCATTTGACCTCGGTGCGGCCCAGTTGGTAAACCGTTCCCTGAACGTTGCCCGGCGTGGGCTTGGTACGCCTTGCGGTCTTGCGGGGAATAGGGACGAGGATTTCTTTGTCTGGGCGGTCGGTGCGCGGGGTGTCCCTAGACGGCCACGGCGAGGGGCGTGTCCTGCAAGCGGAATGGCTGCAGGAGGCGGCTTCCCTCCCCTCAGCGCGCGTAGTGAGGTGCTCCTGGCGGGCGCTGCGCCGCCCGCCGCCCTGGTGAGCGCAGTGGCGGTGGGCACCTCCCGGTTTCGCGCATCGGGGCTGACGAGGGGGGCGGTGTCGGTGCCCTGGTGGGCAGCAGCCGAGGCCGTGGACCCTGGTGGGCCACGGCCAGAGCCCCGCGTGTGCGTCAGGGAGCAGGGAAGCACGGTGCAGCCGAGTAGGGATGTCCAACACGGTTTCCTCGGCTCGCCCGGCAGCTCGTGCCGGTTGGAGCGGTTCTGTTGGTGTACGATGTCGAATTCTATCGTATGCTTGTGAGCCAGCTCGTTGTGTGCAGCGACTGCTCGCTCGGTCGACGCCACTACTACTACTGTGGCGTGCGGCGACGCAGGCTTCCTTTCGGGACAGGTTGCTATCCGGTGAGGTTACTTCTTGGCGGCCCTTGTCTGGTGGCTTGGACTGCTCCGATTCTGGACGCGTATGGCGAGGACCCTTGGTATTGAAGGAGGGTGCGACGCCACTATGTAACGGCCTGGGTCGTGTGCGGTGTCGCGAGGCAAGAACGGAGACGGGGCGCTGGGCGTCTGGTGGGCTCGCTCTAAGCAAAGCTCTCGAGCCGAGACTCGATCGCTAGCGAGAGAGAGAGAGAGAGTAATTCAGCCCCGTCGTCCGTATATTCAAGGACCCATCATCCCTCCTCTATCCCCTTTTTCTCCTCATCGTCCTTGCCGCCGTCGTACTCGGCGTCGCCCTCCTCCGTGCACCTTGGCCTCCGGAGGGTACTCTTGCCCCCGCCTCGTCCTCCCTCGAGCAGTCTTCCCTCCGCCTCGTCCTCCCTGCTTTCTGCTCCTCCCTGGCATCGCAGATCGCCGCCGTCGTGCTCGCCGTCGTCCTCCTCCGCCTCCGCCTCCTTCCGTGGCGCTCCGCCCAGCTGCAGGGCGATCGCCCGCTTTCGGGCGAGCGCCTCTCGACTTCCAACAATTCCCCGGGCGCACCCATCGAGGCCCTGGGCGACAGCTTTCCTCCTCCTCCTCCTCCTCCTCCTCCTCCCCCTCCTCCTCCTCATCCTCCTCCTCCTCCTCCTCCTCCTCCTCCTCCTCCTCCTCCTCCTCCTCCTCCTCCCCCTCCCCCTCCCCCTCCCTCCTCCTCCTCCTCCTCCTCTCTCCTCCTCCTCCTCCTCCTCCTCCTCCTCTCCTCCTCCTCCTCCTCCTCCTCCTCCTCCTCCTCCTCCTCCTCCTCCTCCTCCTCCTCCTCCTCCTCCTCCTCCTCCTCCTCCCCCTTCTCCTCCTCCTCCTCCTCCTCCTCCTCCTCCTCCTCCTCCAGGGCCCTCTCGGCACGTCCTGCGCCGCCTCGGCGCTGCCGCGGCGCCGAAGCGGGCGCGGCGGGTTGGACCCCCTCTCATGGTCGAGGCTAGGCCCGGGGCCCCTGGAAGACGGCCCACGGTGCGCAGGCCTCGCGAGAGGTTGGATCGACAGCCTCTGGGGAGGGAGGAGGGAGGAGGAGGAAGAGGAGGAGGGAGGAGGGAGGAGGGAGGAGGGAGGGAGGAGGGAGAAGGGAGGAGGAGGGAGGAGGAGGAGGAGGAGGAGGAGGAGGTTTCCGAGAGCGGACCTCGTCCAATTTTGAACGGCTCGCGCGGTTTTAGGAAACAGTGCCCACGTTGTCAAAGTCAGGAGCCCGTGGCACCAGCAGGTCCAGCGAAGCTCGCCAGATAAGGGCCCGCCCTCTTGCACGCAGGATGCTTTCCTGCCGCCCACGCTGGGCTGCAACACTTTTGGCTGAAGCCGCCACCGAGTCGAGCGATGCCCGCTCGTCCATGACCGAACCGTCCATGAGCACTTGACAGCAAAAGTGTGCAATGATTGTTGCGGGCTTGCTTGCGGGTTTGCTCACGTGCCTGCTTACGGGCCGCACCGTGGCGCTGCTGGACCTGAGGAGAGAGTACGAGGAGAGGTCCACGCATGGCTTGAACAACTCTGCCGCCGCTTTTTCAGACGGCTCTGCTGCCCTGAACCGTTCGGCGTTCGCGAAAGACGCTGCGGTAGTGATCAACGGATTCGTACTGGGCGACACCGCCGTATCAAATGTCACGAGTGTCTCGGACAGTTCTGTGATTTCGGACGGCTCCATTGCCTTGGACAACTCTGTGGCTTCAGACGACTCCGCTGCCGTGGGAAACAGCATCATTTCGGACGGTGACATCGGTCTGAACAGCACTGGGGCGTCGAATGACAGTGTTGCTTTGGGCAACTCTGCAAACCTTGGCAACTCTGTAATCGCAGACCTTTCAGCAGCTGTGAATGACTCGGCAGCCTTGCGCGGTCTGGCGGCGTCGAACAGCTCAATTTCTCTGGACCATTCCGTGAACACTTCGGCTGTTGATAAGAATTCGGCTGTCGCGCAGCAGGCCGTCGTCGTGGACGACTCAATCTTCGTTCAGAGCTCGAACAAGCAAACTCCAGAGGATCTTGGTTTCACCAGCGATGGTGATATTGATCCAGCTTACAGAAAAGCGTTCACCGAGGCGTCTTGCCTGGACCTGGGAGCAAAGGGCTTCCCCTTGCCGGTGTTCGACATGCTCCAGGAAGCCGATTGGAACGCGTCGAGGTACTTCGACATGCTCCAAACCAAGGGCTTCTCCGAGGAGTCTTTGCAGATGACCGGCCCGCAGGATGCGATCCTGACGTCGGACTGCATGAAGGAGAGCAGGAGGGGGAGGCTGAAGCACATCTTCGTGGGCGACTCGCAGATGATGAGCTTGCGCAACGCACTCCACCGTCTCAACAGGTGCCCGGAGATCTGGTGGACCACGGCGCCTTCCGAGGGCACCGCGCTCCGCGCGGAACTGCTGTCGGCCACACGGCTGGGGAGTGGCAGGCTGCACTCGGCCACGGAGCAGACGCCGGACGCGCCCACGCCCGCTGGCTGCAGCGAGTTCGGCGTCGCGTCCTTTGTCTACTGGGACGCCTGGGCCACCCCCGACTTCCCCGTCGAGGACGTCGAGAAGGAGATCCAGGCGAACGGCTTGAGCAGCAAAGAGGGGGACACGGTGGTCGTGTGGGTCGGTTCGAACTTCATCCCGGCCGAGCGGAGGATGGCGATCCTCCAACAGACCATCCACAAGCTGACCGAACTGGAAGTGAAGATGATTTGGGACTCGCCGACCTTCCTGGATGGTGCCCTGATGGCTGCAACGTCGACCCACGACATGGGGCGAGACCGTCGCACTAAGATCCCGATCACGTACACCGCCATCAGCAACAGGAAGGCCGCTCGTGAGATAGGCTCTGGCGAGTACCGAACCGAGAGGGAGTTCTTTGCTTTGGCGACGGAGATCCCGATCACGAAGCGGTGGCAGCTGACAAATCGGTACCGCGGCCTACAGTGCGACGGCCTCCACACCGACATGCGCGGCAGAGACCCGCTGTTCTACACAGCGCCCTGCCCCCGCGGCGAAGGTCGGTACGGTGTATCCGTCCACTGCAACTGGGTAGAGCCTTTCAGGGAGGAGCTAATCACCCAGTGCCCAATTGCGTCTGGCCTGGACGACCTCGTCCTCCAGAGCGGCCTCTACGCAATCTGCGCAGGGAGCGAGAAGCCTTTCTGTTATCGAAGGCGCCTACGACAAACCACCGCCGCCCCCTGGCTTTTTGGAAGCGCCAGGCGCTTGTGGCCGGAGTTCGATGTAAAACTCGTTCGACCGTGCCTGAACTCTGGTACCCAAAGTGTTGTCGGGACGACTCAGGGTATACGGGGGTCCAGCGTGTAATCCAAAATGATTCCAACAAGTTCCCACAACTGCTTTGCGTCGGCTCCCAGATGGGCCTTCTTGGGCCGTCTTGGGCCTTCCTTGGGGCTCTTTGTTGGGCCTCTTGTGCCTTCTTGGGGGCCTGCTGGAGCACTCTTGGACCCGTTGCCCTGGCCGCGACGACGACGACGACGACGACGACGACAACGACGACGACGGCCCCCGACCACCCCCGACCGCCCCTCCGTCCCTGCTTGCTCTGCGCTGCTTCTGCTGCTCCCCTCCCTCCTCCTGGTCCGCGTTTGTTTGCTGTGTGTTGTTTTTCGCCCGTCTCCTCCTCCTCCTTCCTCCTCCTCCTCCTCCTCCTCCCTCCTCCTCCGCAGGCGGGGCGGCACCTTTTTTTGGAGTGCAGCGGCGGGAGCGTTTCCGCCGTACCCCAGGGCGCCCGGGTCAGGGGCAGTCGCCCGCAGGCGGGCCCGGGCTTCAAGCTTTCGGATAGGGGACTGACAGCCAACAAAAAAAACTTGGACCCGTGGGGTGCTCGCCAGGGGGTCCTCGAGCGAGGCCGGCTTGGGGATCTCTCGAGGCTGTTGTGGGCCACTCCTGGGACCCTCCTTCACTGGCTGATGTGTGTTATTGGGCCGTCTTGGTCCCCTCCTGGGCAGTCTTGGGGCCCTCTCGCGGCCCAGCTGGCCCTTATTGATTCTATGTTTGGGGCCTCTTGTGTCTGAAGCCCGAGAGAGTGAGCATGCGAAGTTGAGTAAAAGAGTTTTGGGGCCGCTTGGGGCCGTCTTGGTTGCATCTTCGTTACCTTCTTGGTGGCCTCTTGGCAGTGTTGGGTGCCTCTTGGGCCATCTTGGAGCCCCCGTCGGCCGTTTCACAACCATTCCGAGCCGTCTTCGAGGCCATCCTGTCCGTCTTGGAGGCGTCTTGGAGGCCAGCGAGAGTCCAACCGGATTGAGATACGCAGTCCAGCGGGGTCCGGCAGCAGACGGTGAAGGTCCCGTGGGAAGTTGTTCTGAGAGGTCCAAGCGTAAATCTAAAACTTCGCATGCCGAACAGCCTTTGGTGGGTTAACCAAGACGAAGCCAGGACGAGGGTAAAATTGGGTGAGGGCAAATCGAGAATCTCTGAGATCCGGCGGTTCTGGAGGATGTCTCGGGCGCCGCGGCCTTCTCAGAGCGTTTCAGCACGCTCTGGAACGGATTTGTTCTCGTCGCAGCCCCGTCTTAGCATGGGGTCGCGACGGACTTAAAGAGTATTGCCGTCAGCTGCAGCCTCCCCCATTGATGGATTCGTGGTTGGGGGCCGTCGTGTTGGAAACGCTTGGGGCCATCTTTGGGCACCTGGAGCCTTACTGGTGCTATCTTAAGGTATGTTTTAGAACAAGCTTTGGTTTAATCCTGGGGCATCTCGAGGCCTCTCGGGGGCTTCGGTAAACACGTTGGCAATTCATTCGGACAATCCTGCGCCATCTAGGCGCCGCCATAGGCCGTCGGAGTGCCTTTTTGTGGATGCCATATTTCCCAGCCCATTCCTCATAGTCAGGGCTTGGTGAGTGTTCCGTTCTGGGCCCTTCGGGGGGGTCATGAGTTCAACAGCGAGGTTAAATCGTTGTTTGAAACGTGGAGTCCAATTTTCACAGAAAGGAATTCTTCGCAGGCGACGAGTGCCTAGAGCATGGAAAGATGCATGCAGTCGAGCATGCACGGGAGCATCTGACTCATTAACAAGGCCTCGGCTTCGCAGCTTGGTGGCCCCAGAAGGGGCCAGTGGATTCCCACGCCCCGGTCATCAGGTGACTGGGCCAGCTCTTACTGGACTTGCCTGGCTGCGATTGGGCCGCGAGTTCTGAAAGAAAGCCTCTGCGCGCGGTACTTATCAGCCTGCTCCTCTTCGTCCTTCTTGCCGTCATCATCATCATCATCACCAAGACCACCACCATAAACAACATCACCATCATCAGCAGCATCATCATTATCATCATCATCTACATCATCAGCAGCATCATCAGCAGCATCATCAGCAGCATTATCATCAGCATAATCGTCGTGATCATCGTCATTGCCATCACCGTCATAAGCATCACCATCACGATCATCATCATCATCATCATCATCATCATCATCATCATCATCATCATCATCATCATCATCATCATCATCATCATCACCATCAGATTCTTCTTCATCATCGTCATCACCGTCATCATCATCAGCACCAGCATCATCATCATCATGATAATCATCATCCGCTTATGCCTCCTTTTCCTGTATCCTCCAAAACCCGCCAATCCTCATCCGGAGCAGCAGCAGCAGAAACCACAGCATCAATCATCTGAAGACAGAGGAGGGGCCATGTGGAGCAGAGAGGAGGGGAAGACATGGATGACAGGCAGGAGGAGGAGCAGGAGGGGGAGGAGGGGAAGGAGGAAGAGGAGAAGATTGAGGGTAACGAGGAGGGGAGGGGGATGAGAAAAGTGGAGAAGGAGCAGGAGGACGCACAACCATTCAAGAACTCGGGACTATACGCAAGACTCGGAGGTGCATCATGCTCTTACGACTCCCTCTTTGAGGGGCGCAGAGTCCTTGAAACAGTCGGAATGATTGGGATTCCTTGAAATACTCGACACTTTTGGAGCCAGCGGTACGCCGGGTAGTTGTATTTTGAAAACCTTCTACTCGGAAGCCGTTGAATTCCAATTCCTGGCAACTAACTATTGTGGATTCCCCACGCAGGTGCGCCTTGCTTTCGATTGAAGTTGCTGAGGATGGCCCTGAGCATCGAATCACGCTGTCGCGCCCCAGATAACAACAGCAATTTCCGCCTGAGACTTGCTTGCAACATCCTCGGGAATGGCACTCTCGCCTGTTACCTGCCAACGATTTAGTTAGGAATCGCGCCCTTGCCGTTCAGGAGTCCGACACGAGGTCATCGCACACCGACGCGGCGCGAGGCAAAACCATCACATACCAATCCCCCCAAGCCTCTCCATCACCCGATAAGCAGTCTTCCGTGGGGTATTCAATCGTCGGTCTCGAAAGTTGGCCATCCAGGTAAGATTACTATTCGAGCTCCGATCGTGTGTCAAACAGTGTGCGCGCAGTGTCTTGTGGAACTTGGCTCTGAAATGAATGAGATGATGGTGTAGGATGTCGACAGCATGGTCAGTTGTCAAAGGCGACAGGCAGAGCAGCGCATGTTATCTAAGCTGGGCCGACACTAGTACATATTGGATGATCCAATCTACAGCGTGCCGGGGCAGGAAAGGGTCAAGGCCGCATGCCGAGTTCGCACGAGTGTTGTACCAGCCGTACTTGTCCGGACATGACAGGTGCTGTAATAGTTTCTGATGACGTTGATCGATTGTTACGTGTGTGCATGGGTCTCGTTTTATTCACCACGCGGCAGGGAAGCATTCACACGTGGCGAAGCCGTTCGCAATAACGTGATGTTTATGTCGTGTGGACAAGGCGAGAGATTAGTGTTGTCTTTCATGTTTCACGATTTCTTGTCACATTGCATATACCCGCCAGCCCATCCAGAAGGCGTCCGCTCATTTGGAGCTCCATCAATAGGCTTTTGAAGACCGGGGGGCTCTCTCGGAGTGCTATTGGGGGCATCCGGGCGCTCTCTTGGAGTTGGGCTGTTACGGGCCCTCTTGAGCCATCTCGGGGCCATTTTGAGGCCTCAGGTGCCCATTGGAAACCAAGAAAGCGCGAAGGCGAACATCGTTCAAACGCTTTCGACTTTTCAGTGGTTTTGACATCAAGAGGATCCTTGTCAGGCTCGGGACCTTCTCGGGGCTTCATGGGACCATGTTGGAGGCCATGCGGGTCATCGTGCGCCATCTTGCGCCATCTTGGATCACTGCGATCTAACTGTGGGGAAGAGGCTGTCTTAGAACATCGGTCGCAATGAATCATGTTCGCCAAAGGGCGCGCCGCTGTACACGATCGTTGTTAGACTCGCAAGCCCCAGCATGCCGACGCCCCCAGTGCGATTTCAACCTGCTCCTCGATGACCCAAGTGAAAACGCACCCGCACAGTGCATCATGTCAGATCTCCTTCGCCTCCTCCCTTTCCTCTTCATCCTCCCCCTCCCTTCCCTACTCTCCCTCTCCTCCGCCTCCTCCGCCTCCTCCTACTCCTCCTCCTACTACTCCTCCTCCTCCTCCTCCTTCTCCTCCTCCTCCTCCTCTTCCTCATCACCATCGTCATCCTTCTCGTTCTATTTCCCGTCACCCTCTCATGGGCAGGGATCTCAGCGGGGGTGGGGCGTGGGTGCGGACGGACGCCACGCGCCGTGAGGTGATCTTCCAGAACCCCCTGTGGGGTGAGGGCTACCACCTGCGGGCGAAGTGCTACAACCAGCTCGGCGACGTGAACCAGACGTTCCGCGACCTCAGATCGGTGCGGGGCGGGCGGGCACGGAGGGCAGACGCGGCGCCGTGCGGAGAGAGGAGCAGAGGGGCCCCCGCTCCCTCGGGCCCGCGCTGCTTTGGTGACGACGCGGCTGGCGTCCAGAGGAGAAGACAAACCGATACCGATGCGATCGCGAACTTTCGGATAGCGCGTCGCTCCGCCGTTTCTGGCCCACCGCGCGTAGGCGCGACGCGCTATCCATGCGGCGGCCCCCAGACGTCGAAGTCATGGGCTTTCCCGAGCCTCCCGCCCCGTGGAGCGGAGCGACACGCTGTCCGCTCGCAGGGCATAGCGTGTCGCCGGGGCCGCCGTGGCGACGCGCTAAACAGAAGTTTCTGACCGTGCCCTTCCCTCGTGCCTACGGGTCCAGCTCTGCGTTGGCGTGCCGCTCTCCCTTGCCTTCGGGGCTGGCCTCGGCTGCACAGCTACGTCCATGTCTACGTGGGCCCCGGTCGGTCGGGGGGGGGCATCGGGCGGCCATACGCGTCAGGAGCAGTACGCTCACGGGCCAGGCGCGCCAGCTGGCATGCGCGCGCGACGGGAGCGTGACTGCACGTGAGCCCAGGCAGGCTGGCGTGGGCGGGCCAGGCTGGAAGCACAGAAGGGGGAGGGGAGTGATGTGGGGAGGGACGGGCCGCAGAAATGGTGCAGCAGACGGTGACGGCTCTCATTTCAGGGTCCAGGTCGGAGCTTGGGATCAAGGTTACACCTGGCACCCTGCAGGAGCCTCCTGCGAGGGTCCTCGAGATCCCGAGCAGCCGGTCCCTGGAGGGAGGAGAGGGGACGGGAGAGCGGCGGACGGGCAGCAGCGACGGAGAGGCAGGGGCCAGCGGATGAAATTTGGGAAGGGATGGAGCTGCAGGGGAGCCAGGCAAGCTGGGCACGCTCGCGCCACATCTGACATCCCATCCCTCCCACTCATCCCGTCCACTGCGTCGGACCCTCTTCAAATTCGGCGGCTCGGGGGCCCCAGAGGCCCAGAGGACCTTGATCTCCAAGTGGCAGCTTCTGGATTTCAAGCCCGAGCATTTCACCTCGCCGCGCACCCCCCTCTCCAGCCTCGTCCAAGGCCAGCCGCGATGGCCCGCCTCGTCACAGCGGCAGCGCTGGTGAGCGGCGCCTCGGCCTTCGTCCAGGGCCCGGCGGCACCGCCGGCCGTGGCGCAGCCGCGCTTCGCGGCCGTCGAGGCGGCGCTCCCAGAGACCCCCGCCCCCGAGGCCGAGACCAGCTGGGCCTCGTGGGCCGCGCCGCTGCTCGGCGCCGGCGCCGCCCTGGGCCTCGCCGCCTCCCTGGCGGTGGCGCCGGCCCGGGCGATCACCGCGGAGCAGTTCAGCCAGCTCACCTACTCCCAGGTTCGGCCAGACGTACGAGTGAGCCTTGGCTGGGATGACCTTTGGTGCGGGCACACTGGGGCCCCCCGATCGCCGAGTGCGGCGCGAAAGCGGCGCCTGGCAGGCTTGGGCCTGGCCCCCCCGCGTCCTTTCAACGCCGCGTGCCAAAGGTCACTCTTGCCTGTGGTGACTCTTGCGTGTAGCTGACAGGTCCGCGGCTCGGGCCTCGCGAACCGCTGCCCCACAGTCGATCAGGTGGGCACCGAGGTCCCCGTCGTGAAGGGCAGCAGGATGAAGAATTTCTGCCTGGAGCCGAAGTCCTTCGCCGTCGAGGCCGAGACCGACAAGGGCAAGGAGTTCGTCACAACCAAGCTGACGACGAGGCAGACGTACACGATCGCTTTCGTCGAGGGCTCGTTGAGCCCCAACCCCCTCACCTTCAAGGAGGAGGACGGCATGGACTTCCAGGCGACGACCGTCAAGCTGCCGGACGGCGAGTACGTGCCATTCTTGTTCTCCTGCAAGTCGCTGGTCGCTAAGGGCGAGGGCAGCTCGTTCAAGCCGGGCTACACCTGGGGCGGCGAGTTCATGGTCCCGTCCTACCGTACGGGCGGCTTCCTCGACCCCAAGGGCCGCGGCATGTACCTCGGCTACGACCAGGCCGTGGCCCTGCCCGCGCTGCAAGCCGACGGAAAGGAGGGTCAGGAGGAGCTGTTCAAGGAGACCAACAAGGTGTTCGACGTCGGCAAGGGCGCCATCGAGATGGAGGTCAACAAGGTGAACCAGGAGCTCGGCGAGATCGGTGGCGTCTTCGTCTCCAAACAGCCGTCCGACACGGATATGGGTGCCAAGGCGCCGAAGACGATCTTGCTGAAGGGCGTGTTCTACGGCAAGGTGGTCTGATCCAGAATCCGATGGTTTCTCCCTGGTGCGATCAACGACGGTCTCTGCGTTTGCGGTGTTAGCCTCCCTGCCTCAGCTGATTTTCCCTCTCGCACATCTGCCGCTGCTGCAGCAGTGGATGCTTCCCCAGGGCTGGCTGCAGCCAATCGAGGCTGAGCACGAGGCAGCACGCGTGCAAACGACGTTTTTTGAAAATGGTGCTCCCTGTACTGCTTCTCCCTCCCAGCCTCCCTCTTCCCTCCCTCCTCCTCCTCCTCCTCCTCGCTCCTCCATCCTCCCTCCTCCCTCCCTACCTCTCTCCGGGCCTCCATGTTCCCTCCCTCCTCCCTCCTCCCTCCTCCTCCTCGAGCCCGCCAGAGGGCGGGCTGGCAGAGCGGGAAGAGCTGGAGAGACCACAGGGCACACCGCCGCGACCAGGAAGAGAGAGACCGAGCCGATAAGATGGAGGCGGGGCACGCAGCCACCCTGTCCTGGATTTTGCGCGAGAGGTTCGCTCCCTGGCTGAAGGGTTCGCTCCCCGCTGGAATGGCTCGTTCCCCGTCGGAAGATGAAAAGCTCTTCAGGGTTCGTTCCCCAGTAGAGAATGTTATATAGTTCCCTTTTGCGGGACATGTCCGAAGCTTCCCAGAAGTTTTTCATGGTTCAGAGGGGGAGGGACAATTGTGGGAAACCTATACGTCGCCAGATTCCGTATGGGCTTCTGGCGACCGATGGGTTTCCAATAATTCGGTGGGGACAATTTTGGGAAACCCATAGGTCGCCAGATTCCCTAGGGGTTTCTGGCGACCGATGGGTTTCCAATAATTCGGCGGGGGCAATTTTGGCCAACCCATAGGTCGCCAGATTCCCTAAGAGTTTCTGGCGACCGATGGGTTTCCCATAATTCGGCGGGGACAATTTTGGGAACCTCATAGGTCGCCAGATTCCCGATGAGTTGCTGGCGCCCGATGGGTTTCCCATAACTCGGCGGTGACAGTTCTGGGAAACCCATCGGTCGCCAGAGTCCCTATGGGTTTCTGACGAACGATGGGTTTTCCATAATTCCGCGGTGACAGTTCTGGGAAACCCATAGGTCGCCAGATTCCCGATGAGTTGCTGGCGCCCGATAGGTTTCCCATAACTCGGCGGTGACAGTTCTGGGAAACCCATCGGTCGCCAGATTATGGGTTTCTGGCGACCTATGGGTTTCCCATAATTCGGCGGGAACAGTTTGGGGGGAAACCCATAGGTCGCCAGATTCCCTATGGGTTGCTGGCGACCTGTGGGTTTCTCATGATTCGGCGGGGACAGTTCTGGGAAACCCATAGGTCGCCAGATTCCCGAGGGGTTGCTGGCGACCTATGGGTTTCCCATAATTCCAGGAAGAGTTATGTTGAGGTCGTGGGGCTCGCGTCAGACGCCCTGCGACCTCGGATTTCCCATACCTCGCCTTCTGGAAATTACCAAATTTTTGGGAAATCCGTAGATGGACGGCAGCCGTCAGCATCTGCCCCCGCCGCCGCTTCCCCCCAGCCCCGCTGCTGCTCCTGGCCCCGCGGCGGTGTCGGCCGCGCCACGCGCCCCGGGGAACTGCCCGATCCCCTGAGCGGCCCCGGCCCGTTTCCTCCTCCTTTCGGCCGTCGCTTCGTCGTCTTCTCCTCCCCTCTTGCATGGTGGCACAATTCGCTAAGCGGCAGCCCCGTTTCGCCTCCATCGCCAGCGCAGTGATTGTGCCTAGCCGCCGATGCAACAGTGCTTGTGTGTTTTTGTGTTTGTGTGTGTGAGTTTGTGTGTTCGAGTGATTGTGTTTGGTTGTGTGTTTGTGTGCTTATGTGTGCGTGTTTGTGTGTGTGTTTGCGTGCTTGTGTGTTTGTGTGTTTGTGTGTGTGCGTGTGGTTATGTGGGTGTTGTGTGTGGTTGTGTTTGGTTGTGTGGTGGTTGTGTGTGTGGTTGTGTTTGTGGTTGTGTGGTCGTTGTGTGTGTGCTCGCAGGGGGGGGCATCATGTGTGTACGCCCGTGTGGAACCACTTGCGTGTAGAATCCGACGTTTGTAAGCTTGGGCACGAGCGTGCGTTACCCGTTCCTGGATAGATGGCGACTGTGTTCCCATACTGCTGGCAGGGTTTAATATGCGTTTGTGTGTGAGTGTGCGATTATGGAAGGCCCGGCCGCGTCCGCGCGCTTAGTTTTTCTATGTACTCTGCCTCTTCGCTGCGTGCGAGGCCGCTACTGCCAAAAAATGCGTTCGTGTGTGTGTGTGTGCGTGTGATTGTGAAGCCTTGTGTGTGTGGAGCCCCGTGTGTAGGCCCTGTGTGTGGATCTGTGTGGAACTACGTGCGCGTGGACTTCTTGTGTGTGATGAAGAGCCGCAGGAGGACGTGGCATACTGTAGCATCTGCTTGTCGGGGCATCCGCGGACAAAGGGAAGCCAGGCCCTGGAGTTTTGCCCGAACAACTACGTGACGATGGTAGAGTTGGCTCTTGCGCTTATCGACAAGAAGCAGGCTTACGAGGAGGCGTTCACTCGTTCGACCAGCTGAAACCAGCCTCCTTGCATGTTCATGCGAAACCAGACCCGCTGTCAGACCTTTCTTGACACATGCGCCCTTCGCTCATACTCATCTTGTTCCCGACCACACAACAGTGAGCCCCTCTGGAACTGTTATGTGGATTGCCCTTCGATCCTTTTGTGTCTGACGTCTTCGGGCCTCGCCATTTATTTTCCTCCTCGCTTGTTCATTCAACCTCTTCCGTCTCGTCATGCTGCCCGAGAGCAGAAGTGACAGCTGGTCCTGGAGAAGGCCCAGCTTCGCACGCGGGTGCAGCAGAGACCCCGCGGTTCCGACGGTCGTGTGTGGCCACCGGCCCAGCGCAGCCTGCCGAGGTCCCTTCGGTGCCCGAGGCCCGTGGCAGACCCGAAGCTGCCCCATCCTGCCCCCTCTTGCTTGCGTCTGGTCCCCTCTCCCCCCGGGCCACCTCCGCCTGCCCTTGGCCTGCCCTTCCGTGCGCCCCGCTTGCTTGCGCCCGGTCCCCTCTTCCCCGGGCCACCGCCGCCTGTCCTTCCGTGCGCCGCCCTGCTTGGTTCTCGGGGAGCCTGCGCCCCCTCTGGTGCATCCCACGGCCCTCCCCGCTCCGCCCCTCACCGCTTCCCGCCTCCGCACCCGCCGCCCTCGGGGCCTGCCCGCAGCCCCGCTGGCGAGGCTTCGGAGCTCCTGCAGCAGGCCTGGGACCTCTGCCCGCTTCTCCCGATCGACGCGTTCTCGGCCACGCTCTACGCGAAGGCCCTCCCCCGCCTTGGAACGAAAGGTGGGCCCAGGCAAGGAGGGACCCTCCAGGAGGAGGAGGAGGAAGAGGAGGAGGAGGAGGAGGACGAGGAGGAGGAGGAGGAAGAGGAGGAGGAGGAGGAGGAAGACGAGGAGGAGGAGGAGAAGGCGAAGGAAGAGGAGGAGGTGGAGGTGGAGGCACGACGAGGACGAGGGCGAGGGCGAGGAGGAGGAGGAGGCAGGACGAGGACGAGAGCGAGGACGGGGACGAGGAGGAGCTGAAGGATGAGGAGGCGGCAGGGGGTAGGACGAGGACGAGGAGGAGGAGGAGGAGGAGGACGAGGAGGAGGAGGAGGAGGAGGAGGAGGAGGGATCGAGGTTTTCGGGCGCATTTGGGCCTTCTTGGGCCTCCGCAGGCCTCCCTAGACCTCCTGGGGCCTCTTGGGGACTTCGGGAGGCCTCCGGAGACCTCCAGAAACCCCCCTGGCGTCGCGATATTTGTTTTTTGCCCCTAAGGAGTTCTCTGGTGGCTCTCGGGTTCCCTGGACCACGGACGGTGAGCGATCTACATGGTTCCTGCGGCAGCTGGGCCATGCCAGAAGCCGGGCGGCGGAGGAGGCCACGAGAAGGCGCGAGGCGGCGGCTATCAGATGAAAGAAGTGCTGCGGCGACACCCGTGGATTAACCCTACAGGGCCAACCCGAAACTCAGATGGAAAAAACAAGAAGCTGGCGTCGCGATAGAAACGGCAACGGTTTTTGTGCCTGCAGTTTTTTGGGGCCTCGGGAGGCCGTCCTCGGGGACCCGGGGGCCGTGAACGAGGGCGGCCCGCAGCGAAGCTTGGCCCCGGGGACGGAGCCGAGGGTTCCGAGGGGGCCACGGATCTCGGGGGCGGAAAAGAGGGGGGGTGATGACTAGGGGGAGTGGATCTCATGGCGGGGGCCATGATATTTCCCCAGATTTCATGGCGCCCCTTCTTATTTCATGACGTCCCTGGCCCCCCCGCTGGGCCGCGCACATGCCGCCGGTCATGATTTGCACCCCCCCCTCTTGGACACCCCCCTCTTGGCCGCTCCCGAGGATCGAGGACCGAGCGCCGAACGGGGCGCTGCAGAAAGGGCTCCCTCTCTGAGGAACCGGAAGGTGCAGTTCTCGCCTTTGGCAGACGGCTGCACTTGGCCGCGGTGGGACGAGGAGACGGCACCGCCAGCGGAATGCCGGCGGAAGTAGACGCCGCTCCACCCCCGCCAAGAAAGGCTAGCGCTGGCACCCCCAGGGAGGGGCTCCTGGAGCAGGGGGAGTCGGGTAAAACCGGTTGTCACGCGTACGAGTTTCGTGTGATTTTTGAGAGCTGCGTGGAACATCCTTGCTGACTTTCACGCCACCCCACCCTTCCACCCTCCCCTCTGTTAGTCCACGGGGGGGTCGATGGAAATACGAGGGGGGCAAGCGCCTTCACGCGGAACTCTTCCTGCATCATCGCCTCGAGGTCCTCGACATCGTCGTGCGGCATTCGGAGATACAGCGCGACGCGGCCTTTCTTACTGATAAGTTCCCGTAGCTTCCCGCGTGCTCCCTGACTTGTCGGCCAGCCGGCTTATCCCCCTGAGCGCTCCGCAATCAGTGAGTTATTCGACCAGCCCGCGTGCTCGCCGGGCCTGCGCGCAAAGCTCACCAAGCAGGCCAGTCGACGGGCCGACTGCGAGACCAAGCCGACGGTGACTCTTATGAACTTTGCGCCGCGTTGCCTCTGGTCGTCCCTCGCCGTGCGCGCTTGCACGGACGGGGTCCGCGAGCCTGGCGGCCTGAGCGCGTCTGGGCGCACGTCCGAGCCGCCGCGCGCGCGCAAGGCGCCCCACCTGCGTCCGAAGGCCCCGCTGGCGAGCGACGAGGTCAGCATCGAGGCCAGGGCGGGGGCTCCGGCGCCAGAGGGGGGAAGGGGGGGGGGGTGCGCGGATGCCTCCCTGCTGCACCTGCTCTCGTGGGGTGAGGGGGGGCATGGGTGCAGCTGCTCTTGTGGAGGCCCTTCGTCTCCCGTCAACAGCTCGTTGTTGTCGTCGTCCTCCTACACTTCGCTCTTCTCCTTCCTCCCCTCCTCCTTATACAGCCCTCTGCTCCACCTCGTCGTCGTCGTCGTCGCCGCCCTCCTCCTCCTCCTCCTCCTCCTCCTCCTCCTCCACCTCCTCATCCTCATCCTCATCCTCATCCTCATCCTTCTCCTCCTGCTGTTCCTCCTCCTCCTGCTGCTCCTCCTTCTCCTCCTCCTTCTCCTCCTCCTCCTCCTCCTCGCAGGGGTTGGAGTTTGCCGCGCAGCGTGTCACATCCGTCCGCCCGGACATCTTCTGACTGGTTTGCGCGCTCGTGGAGCGCTTCGTAGAGGCAAGAAGCGAGTATGCGCGCGAACGGCGTCAGTAGTATGTCTTGTGGCGTTATCATTCGATGTGCCACCCGTGTTACGCCTGCATTGACGAGCGTTCATATACATTTGCCGTTGCCCCGAAACGGGTGCTTCGCGATCAGCACCCCGTAGGTAGGAATTGTTGTCATGTATTTGTTGTTATTGGCTGCCGTGGTAAACTGTTTCTTGGCATATCTACGATGTGTGGCCCCGTGGTCGGCCTTTTTCGTGTGTTGGGGTTGCGCGCTGAATGCGAATCGTGGCAAGAGAGACGCTAGGCAGTCCATCCGTTTTTTCGTCTGGATACCAGGCTCAAGCGAAAGAGTTTGTGCCGACACGACCGCCTTGAATCGCGTCCATATTATGTTTGCCCGCCGTTTCTGTATAGTCAAGGACACTCCTCCTCATCCTCCTCCTCCGTAACCATTTTGACTTAAGCTCGAAACGCTTCCCTGGCGCTTCGAGCTTGGTCGTTGCTGAGGGGACGGCTCGGAGCCCCTTTTGCGAGGACAGGCCTCGCGGCATCGGTACTTCGGTGCCCGTGCATTGTGGCTTCCTGCACCTGGCTCTCTGCGCACCCCCTGGGCTGGGTAAACTGAGGTGTTTCCAGTTCCTGGCCCAGGTGGTGCTGATGTCTCGGACCCTGACGGAGCAGGATGGTGAAAACATCGACCTGGCGCCGACATCTCCCGCATCACCCAGCTCTGCTGGCTCTGGCAAGGGCTGCAAAGGTGCCGCTGCTCCTGGCAGTTCGTCCCTCGCAAGCGTGCTGCTGCTGACGGTGGATATGGCGATGCTGCAGCTTGTGATGAATGCATGTCTGACGAATACGTGCGCCAGATCTGCAAGCATATTTTCTACCCCATGCTCAACGAAGTCAAGAATGAGCTGGGGGATCCAGTCCACGCGGCCGTGCTGGCCACTGTGCAGTCATCCAGTGAGAAGGTCCTCAGCTTGGTTGACAAGCTGCGCGCTGAGCTGACTGTTCCGCCTGCTCGTACGGATCAGCAGATCATGGGGGTTGTCCGATCGCAGGTGGACGAGGGGGCGAGGCGGTTCCAGATTCAGATCGACACCCACTCCGGCACCCTCTGCGACCACGACGGCCGCATCGGCGCGGCCGAGAAGGAGATCGCCGACTTCGAAGCCCAGTTGCAGGAGCTACGCGGCCACCTTGCTGTGGCTGAGCGGCGACCGCGTGCTCTGGCTGCCCCCTCTGGGATCGACCGTGGCGCGAATGCTTCGATCGTCGTGGTCATGGTGCAGAGTGCTACCACGGCTCTTTGCGTTGCCGAGGCGCTGGGCCCGTGGCTCCATGAACTCGGGTTCGACAAGAACCAATATAGCATTGAAGCCGTTGGGGTGTCACCGTCGATGCGCTTTCATGTCAAGTTTGGTGGGCTTGTGGCGGTCGCCCCTCGTCAATTGCCGCGCGTTCTGTCTCACATTCGCGTCGACGGTGCGCGGGGGGGATTATCTGTCAAAGTGCCCTGCGGAGATCAGGCGCTCATGCATGTCGGATCCGCGCGGAATTTGCGCCTCGCCGTTGCAGGTCGGCCATCGCAGGAGCTCGCCCCCAGCTTCGTCCCTTTAGCGATCGTGATCGCGGAGTCCTCTCGATCGGGCGGGGCAGCGTTCTTCGCGTCACAGTCGGGCCCGGAGATGGCCCGACCCAGCCCATGCGGGGCGAGGCCGCGCTCCGCAACCACAATCTCTACAAGAGCGCCCTGGCGCAGCTCACGAGGCGCATCGTCGCCCCGCGGGCTGAGCCCCAGCGGCGCCTCTGACATCTGGCGCTTCCTCAGTAGCTCTCGCAGATGCGGCGTCGACGAGCCCCCCCCCCCCCCCACTGCGAGTAGCGACCGGGAACGCGCGCGCCCCCCTGCAATCCGCCGGGGCGAAGGCCGCTCTGAAGAGGAGATACCTTGAGAGGCCGATGGCTTGTCCGAGCATCAAGTTGCAGGAGGCACATCAAGATGCGTGTCAGCCGAGCGATCTCGCCCGTGGTATCTCGAGTGACGCGATCCTCAATCGCTCGTCTTGTGGTGGCACGCCTGAGCCTGCGATCCGCGGCGGGGTCGCGGTCGTTCTTCCTGCTCCGGGTCGTCTGGGTCAGCGCCCCGCCCTCAGCCGCGCCGTCGCCCCTGCGCCGGGGCGCGCGCTCCGCGTCATCGCGGGGGCGGGGGGCGCCCAGCCCGATATTTTCAACGCCCACAACCACGGGCCGAGCGCGGACCAGGCGACGCGGGCTGCGAGCGCCATCCGCGCGGCGAAGGCCTTCGCGGATGGGGGCCCCACCAAGCGCCCGCTCATCGCGAACGGGGACTTCAACTTTCAACTTCGCCTCCGAGGAGGCGGTCGCGCTGCGCGTGCCACGCGCAGCTGTTCGGCGCGCTGCGCGACAGCACCGCGCACGCGCCGTGGTCTGGCGGCGTGCACTTGCAGGACTGGTCGAGGTGGAGCGCGACGCCCCATCGCATTGCGAAGAGCAGGCAATTCCGAGTCCTTGATCGATCCTTTTCCTTTCGGCGCCCGGTTGGTTCCTGCGCCGCTCCCCCCTCCATCCTCTACTGTCGGAGCTGCTGCATCGGCTTCGGACCGAACCATTTCGGATCATGCCGCAGCGGTCTTCACCATCTCCCCGCGTCGCCCTCGCCCTTAAGAAGACCACCCCATCGACGAGAGGTTGCTCCGTGAGGAGGTGTTCAAACGTCGCCTCTGCGCGTCGGTGGATTGCGCCGAGCCCCACCTTCCCCCCCCCCCCATCGTCGTCTCGAACGTCACAGAGAGCTCGCGCGAATGGCGGCCGTGGGAACCAGGGGCAACCCATTCCGCGATCGCCCTCGTCACCCTCAGACCCCGCTGCAACTTGCGCGCGCCATTGCTCTCGTCATATGGGGGCAGGATGTTGCTCTCGAAGCCTCAAGGGGCGAGGGCGGCCTCGAGCACCGCGGCCTGGGCGCGGCGGACCACGGCCGCCCTCTCGGCAGTCACGGAGGACCTCGGGCGCACTTCGGCGCCCGCGCAGGCCTGGCGGCACGGGGCCAGTGCAGCAGAAGCAGCAGCCTTCCGCCAGGTCACGGCGGCGGCCGCGCATCACCATCGACGACGCACGGAAGCTACCTCGCCCAGCAGCGCTTGCGGGGCGCGCGAGGCTTCGCCCAGCAGCGCTTGCGGGACGCGCGAGGCTAGGCACGGACCGCGCAGGCAGCTGCGGCGAGGAGCCGGCTGCTGACGCTCATGCAGAACAACCCAGCCGCCGCCGCGGCGGTTTTCAAGGAATGCACCGCTGGGCCCCCAGTAGGCCTGCTCGCGGCCATGCGGGACCCAGAGCGCGAAGACAGGATGTGCGCGGGGACCGAGCAGGCAGGCACTAGCCGGAGCCCGGCGAAACATCCAACGCCACGACGACCCGCCGCCGCGTGCCGAGTGGGACGAGCAGCACGCGGCAGCCCTGGGAGCCCGGCTGGACAGGCAGCGAGCTTACGCCAAAAAAGCTTTCAGCAGCTGGGACCCTGGGAAGAGCTTCACCCACGCTGAGCTCGCCAATGCGCCAGCGCGGATCAAGCCCCGCGCGCACAGCGCGCACTTGGGCGCCTTGGGCTCGCTCCTCGCGCTGCCCACCCTGACCCTCGGCCCCTCTATCAAAATCCGACCATCTGGCTGGTCCAGGGCAGCTACCACAAACACAAGGAGGGCCGGAGACACATCGACTATGGCGGCTACAGGGTCTTGGCCCTATGCACCGCAGAGGGCCGCCTCCTTGCGGAGCTCTAGGGCTGCCGCAGGGGCAGGACATGGAGAGCAGTCTGGTTTGGGGGAACTCCAGGAAGCTGGTGGCGAGTGCCTAGTGTCGGGGCTATTGGATCAGGAGGTCGCCGCCATCTGCGCCGCGCAGGGCCGCCCATGCGTCGAGGCGTTCGCAGACGAAGCCGAGGCGTTCGACAGCCAGGATCGCGCAGAGGCCTGGTCGCCATGCACGACCGCGCCGCCATCGCATGGGCAAGCTCGCAGTAGTCACGGGGCGCGGTGGCGCAAAGCACCCCTTCCAGCCGCAGGCGGACATGCCAGTGGGCGCTCAGCGCCCCATCCAGTACAGCGTGGCCAATTCGAAGAAGATCGAGGAGGTTACGTCCAATCCTGAAGTGGGCCTTGGATTCGACCCCCCAGAGGAAGGCCTGCTGGCGCATGGCGGCGCCGTGACAGCACCGACGCAGCCGCCCTGGACGTGCAAGAGGTGCAGCAGTGGGCCGCGCTCCTGGCTGATGGACACGCCGACTGGGACGCACGCGTGGCATCGGCATCCTCCGACGCAGTCCGCCTGGCCCTGCTCGATGAGGCGCCCTCCCTCCGAATGTGGCCCCGAGCATTCGTAGACGATGTCCGTGTCAAGGCGGGCTCGCGGGGCCAGCGTGGCGCCGCCATCCAAGCGATCCTAATGCGTCGAGGCGGCACCGCGGCCGCCTCCGATATGGACCCACGAAAACCGCGACTGTCGCCATTGAT